TCTCTCTCTCTCTCGCTCTCTATCCTAGCCAGCTCCTCCGCTTCAATGCGGTCAAAAATGGCCTCCAGCTCGCGCTGAATTTCGTCCCCGTCCTGAAGCATTGAGAACGCACAGCGTGTATTTAGCTGCTGCACTTTGAGTGACATAATCAACACAGGTCTAATAGATTGGGCAGGCTATCACGGTGTCGTAGCAGTAGGCGTAGAAGTAAGAATAGTGAGTAGTCAGGGCAAGGGCATCCAAACTGCTGTGGTCCTCGGAAATGTCCAGGCCCACACCGCCCATGGCCTCCAAGATTTTGCAGGTGCTCCAGATTAAGTGTGTGTGTGTGTGCGTGCAGTGTAGGCGTGTGTACTGGTTACCCGGTGCCTCCACGTCCGGCGGATAATTCGCCTGCAAAGCATGACGCCCGCGTCCACGTGCACTCCAACTGCCCACAAAATCCAGCGCATGAATGTCTCCTGCCTCTGCAACATCGAGGCCAGCAGCGGGGCCCCCAACCCCTGCACCGTTGTCGTCCTGCTTGCCAGCCAAACCCCATCTAAGTCTATATAAGTGTCCCAATGTATCCACCTGCGTATGCCGCGTTGTCACATAGCCTGGATGTTTAGCGTCCAAGTTCGGCCCCTTTGGCCCCCCATTGGCCACCCAACAACACCCTTTTACAGTAATCAAGAAAAAGGCGGGCGTGTCTAATCGGACACTGTCCTGAGACATTCTATCCCGCTGGCTTTTTTTTAAACGTGCAATGTAACCGCGTAAAACATTGCCTGCGCAGTGTTTTCCATGACAAGCTCAGAAAGGGACAGGGTCCGAGCTCACCACAGTAGTTGCTGCGTCGTCGATTTCCTTGCAGATGGATTTCATACGACGAAACGCACAGGGTTGCCAAGTTCCCTGGAACACATCGACCCGTCACTGCAACAACAAATCCATGAGCAGGTCCTGCTGATCGAGGCGTTCCCAATCGAAGAGTAAGCTTCCGGTCTGCGCCCTTCCTTGATATCCGTGACAGCTACGCTGCAAAGCTGCCACGCAGTGAGATAAAATTATTCTCTTGTATGTTGCCAAGGTGCTCCGCTTGGCAGCTCGGTTTCGATTCTGGCGCGCCTTCACATATAGCCATATCACGCACCGCGTGTGAACCCAAGCCAATGCAGTTGACATCATCATCGAGCAATCGAGCATTACACGCCTGCCGCTTACGGCTCTCTTTCAAGATGCGGCCGCTTCTTGGACACCTGCCGGCCTAACAGACACGCTTCATTCGAGCACAGGTCCAAGGCATGTTCCAACAGCAAATCTATGAGACATCAGGCGCGGTAGACATGCAGCATTTCTCTGCGCTTGCCTGCTGCATCACCCATCGACGGTTCTGCCTGTTCGACCAGCGTTCTCTGGACCGCGCAAACTCACGGCTTCACTCGCGCGAGCACCCTGGTATTCTATGCTGTTACACGAACTCGCAAGCTTGCGGCAGAAACTTCGGAGAGGTCGGCCCAGCTTGGGCCACGAAAGAACTCCTCACATGTTCAAAGCGTTCGGCGTGTGCTTCTGCTTGGCATTAACGATACACGGCCGCGCCTGCCCAGTGCTTGCGCAAGATTGAGGGAAGTAGCGGGCCATGTGAGGCGACCGCGTTGCCACCCAAAAAGAGAGCCACCTTAGGTTCCTTATTAGAGTTATACCATATAGGCGCCCAAAACCCTATTCTAATGATTCAGGCCCTTACATTACGGCTTCTTTGGTGGTAGCGCTGTTCAAGCTCCTCTACACATGGCTTCGGGTGGAAGGGCAGAGGGGATGGGGTCACTACAGTAACAGTCTACAATAGGGCTACTATTAAGGACCTTATATATCCATATGACGAGTATTACTCAACTGTTACTGCGTGGGGGGAGTACCCAACGTAAACCCATCTCTATATATATATATATTTATAATTTATCTTTATTTTTATTTTAACTATTTTTTGGGAGGGGGGGGGAGCAGGGGGCTGATTATAATCATAATATCGTATACCCCCAAACGCTATTCTACATATTCAGGCCCCTATGGTATGCAATTCCACATGTTGGCGTTGCCGCCTTGCCGTCCCGTTGAGTCAAGACTTCTGGAACCCCATAACACCAAACTCAGAGCCCTGTAGAAAGTAGACGAACAGACCCCCACATCCTCATGCTGAAGTCTTGACTCAACGGGACGGCAAGGCGGCAACGCCAACATGTGGAATTGCATACCATAGGGGCCTGAATATGTAGAATAGCGTTTGGGGGTATACGATATTATGATTATAATCAGCCCCCTGCTCCCCCCCCTCCCAAAAAATAGTTAAAATAAAAAATAAAGACAAATTATATAAATTATATATATATATAGAGATTTATAGCATTAGTAATTAATGTTTTAGGCCCCTACATTACATGTGTCCGCGCAACAATGATGCGCACCCCAGGGCGATCCCTTCCCAACCTGGGCCCCCAAACCGGGGCTTTTGCAAGAAGGTAAGAAGTTGGATAATTAGGGGCTTAGGGATTTAGGCGTTTAGGCATTTAGGGGTTGAGGGGTTTAGGTTGGATACTGCCCCCAACTCAGTAACAGTTGAGTAGTAGACAAAATATGGCTTTATACTAGGTCCTTAGTAGTAGCCCCATTACAGACTGTTACTGTATGGGGGCAGTACCTAAGTTAGAAGTGGCTTAGGGTTGGGAGGATCCTGATAAGTTCCCTGATGAGGGTTGCCCTACTTGTAACATGACATACTACGTCCACCGATGCGTTCGGTAGTTTCTGGTGTTTCCCTAAACCTGTAAACCCTAAACCCTAAACCCTAAACCCTAAACCCCAAACACCTAAACCCTATAAACCCGAATCGTTTCTCCAAGGCACCCGAGCATGGGAAGCAAGACCATTTCCTGACCAGACACTGATTGAAGCTGCAGAGCATACACAATGTGGACACCTAGACCCTTAGGGACACTGGCTGAACCGTTGAACTCAACAAAAAGCCCAAGCAGGTATGACTTTTACCCTAAATCATATACCCCATACGAGCTTTCTCTATATGGAACCGCGTCTTTTAGGTATATAGATTTCTGAGTCACATTCCTACATTGGGCTTTGAGGGGTGCTGGGCTCGGATTTGGGGTCTATAGGGCACAGCCTCGGCTTATATACTTTAGTGGCTTTTAGGCTTTGGGATTTAGGGTTTAAGGGTTTGGGGTTTAAGGTTTAGGGTTTAGGGTTTAGCGCACGGCAAGTAGAACCCAAGCGGGTCCAACGAATAGTATAGTATACACTCTAGGGGGCCAAATATCCACGAAGTGCCCTAAACCTAAAATCCCTAAACCCTAAACCGTTTTGGTAAACAAAAATACACTAAAACCTAAAACATCCAAACCTTAAAACAAAAAAAACTCTACCCTAAACCCTAAACTCTTTTGGTACAAAAAATTACCCAAAACCCTAAAAGCCCCAAACCTAAAGAACACCCTAAACCCCTTTTGCTACTGGGAACTGACGAGAGAGGCTGCGCTTACCAGGCTGAGCGGTTGCAGCCCCGAAGGCTCTCTGGACATCCCTGGCGCCCCCAACCCCTTCAGGGTTTAGGGTTTAGAGTTTTAGGGCTTTTAGGGTTTAGGCTTTAGGGGTTTGGGAGTTTAGGGTTTAGGGTTTAGGAGTTTGGGAGTTTGGGAGTTTAGGGGTTTAGGGTTTTTAGGGTTTAGGGTTTAGGAGTTTGGGAGTTTAGGGGTTTAGGGTTTGGGTTTTTTTTTGGGGGGGTTTGGGGTTTAGGGCTTAGGGTTTGAGCTTTGGGGTTTGGGGTTTTCAGGGTTTGGGGTTTAGGGCATACGGTTTAGGGTTTAGGGAATTAGGGGTTTAGGGCCTGATATTGCGCTCCATCTCTCCAGTCTCCAAGGGGATTTGAAGGTTTAACCTTTTGGAATCCATTCGGATTATAGTAGCCCACAAAAACAAGGACCAGCTGCTTGACCACTGAACCTTAAACCCTACAGAACCCTGTAAAGACATAAACCATGGGAAATCCTATCAGAAAACTCCGCAAGAATGTCGAGGCCTTCATAATTACCCATACTACTTCAGCGGTTCCTTGATATAGCTATAGTATAATATACACCAAAACCCTATTAGAAATATTAAGGCCCCTAAACCCTAGGCCCTAAACCCTGAACCCTAAACCCTAGGCCCTAAACCCTAAACCCATAACCCGAACCCTAAACCCTAAACCCAAAATATGCAAAACCCCAAACTGCAGCTCTGACCTGCTCACAAGAAGCCCTTGAGCTAGACCTTCAAGCCCAACAGCCAGGATCGCCGGCCGGTTTAGGGCATAGGATTTAGGGGTTTGGGGTTTAGGGCTTAGGGGGTTTAGGGGTTTAG